GTATCCGACACACTAGCATCATTGTCATTGTCCACACTAGCACGGGCGACAGCCTTGCCGCCGTCATCTCCATCATCGCCCCCAGCATAGCTAGTATCCTCGTGGCTGCCGCTGTTTTCGGCGTCATCGTGATATCGCGCGCGCCCAAGTCACCGACCCCTACTGAAGCGCCCGAGCGCAATTGTGGCTTTTGAGATGCGCTTGGAAGTCCACATCGGTAAGCGCCATCGCGGCCGCATCGGTTGCGCCATACCAGCCGGTCGATTTGTGCGCGAGCGTTCGCGCCGTAGGGACGCGCTAGCCAGTGCCAATGGGGATCCGCGGTGGTGGTCTCGCAGGTTTTGCCGAACAAGTTGAGAGTGGAAGCGTAGGATGTTTAAGCGAGCTGTGGAGTTGGCGACTTCCAGCTCTGCTTTCGTTGATTCTCGTTTTTTAAGGAGAATAGAGTCTACCTCCTAGGAGAATTAGAGCCTACCGCCTTCCCCCCCAAGAGCTTATCGCCCCCCCATGGGACACTGCAAGTTCATATGGTTCTGCCCCATCGCCCATCCCAAGTCGTTCTGTCATCGCCCACCTCATTCCTGTCAAACTAAAGTATGCGCGCTCGCTAGTCCTGTTTCAATAACTCCTTGCGCAAGAAATCCAACAAAGCCCACACGTGCTCGTCGTCGCGCGCGCATGTCGAAGTCCGTCCCAAATCCTGGCTTTCGGACAGATTCCAAGTTCGAGGTTCACGAACACATATGAAACAAACAATTGTTCCCCAACAGTTTTTTGATACGAAATTCGAGCGCGCGTGCTCTTTCGAGTTCTTGGGGCAACCATGGGTCAACATGTATTTCAAATCGGACCACGCGGCTCTTTCGCGCGCGCATGTCGAAATCATTCGCACGCCCTTGCCCGTTTTCGGGGGGGCACGATCCGTGTCAAATCGTACCATTCGGGCCATTCGCGCGTGTCGGCAGCGCGCGCATGTGGAAATCCTCCCAAAAACTTCATCAATGACGAATGGACATCCTTATCGTCATCGGCATCAGCAAAGCGGCACCGACATCGTCACCATCGTCACCACCATCTTTAATACCAATATCGTTGCTGTTATTGCCGGCGTCCTGATGATACCTGGCCCGCCCGAGCCACCGACCCGCACTGAAGCGCCCGCGCGCCAGCGCGGCATTTGACACGCGCTGGCAAGTTCACACCAAGAAGCGCCATCGCGGCCAAATCGGCTGTGCGACACCAGTTGGCCGCTCTGCGCGCGAGCTAGCGCGCGCCACCGTCGCCGCAGAGATGCGCCAGCCCTGGCCCAGCAGTCATCGCAATCGCCGCCGCATGGGTTTTGCAGTCCAAGGTGCGGGTGGGAAGGTGTGATGATGGTGCGAGCACTGGAGTTGACAACTCCGAGGTCTTCAAAAGTATGAATTTGCACTACGTAGGTGGCAGCACGGAGCTTGCACCAACTAGCTAGCACCACGGAGCTTACACCAAATAACTTGCAGTACGCAGATGATCCTTCCGAAAGAAAGATGGACTCTACCATGCTCCCTCCTGGGGTTGCGCCGGCCCCCTCGGGGCATCACACATAACACCTGAGCTTGCCCCATCCTTCCCTTTGCTGATAAGACCGGAAAAGCCCAGCCAGACCGGCATCACCCCCCGCGCCCCTGTCAAGTAACAAACGCGCGCGCAGTCGCTTATCTCGAGATTCGCGCTGCGAATGCCCCTTTGCGGCAGGTGCCACGAGCTCCACGCGCGCAGGCGCAAGGGTCAAGAGCACGCCGAGCACATGAGCTCACAGGCGTGCCCACAGGGAGCGCCAGAAGCTTAAAGGAGATCGTGTTGCAGGGTTTCTGCCCGCGTGCACTTGCTGGACTCATGGGTCACCCCGCCGTCTAATCTCGGGCCGGACGAAAGGGGGGGATTGGGAAAGGGGGGGTTACGAAATCTGCTGCATGCACTGGGTTCGGCCCCACCGAGGGGCCCATTCCTCGATACATAGCCGCCTCCCGGCGCCGGGAGGCGCCGGGAAAATCAGCTGCGTGAGCTGATTCTCAAACCCCCCCTTGCTATCCCCCCCTTTCGCCCACCCCGATAATCTCACCACGCGGTTCATCTGCAGACATCCAGCATGAGGCCTGTGCAGCGACCCGTATCGCACAACACCACGCGGGCCACACGGGCGCGCGCCAGTACGCGCGCCTGTGGCGACCGCTCGCTCGCTCGCCGTCGAAACAGTTCCAGATAGAGCTCCCCGATACATAGTGCAGAGTACACATGTTGTCAACCATAGCTGCGCCAGATAATTTGAACTTCTGCGAGCACGCGCTTCTTCACCACCACCCTTATCAGCGCCATCGCGTGACCGCCGTCAGTCCGAGTCGTCGTCAATCGTCGGCACTGCCGCCATCATCATCATCACAACCGTTTTCATCACCGCCAGATGGGCATCATCGCCATTGTTTGTTGCCGCCAGAATCGGCGTCGTCATTGGCCTTGCCGCCGTCACGGCCATCATCGCTACCACCATCGCTACTACCATCATCGTTGCCGCCTTTAACGGCGTCAGGGTGATGCCGCGCCCGCCCGAGTCACCGACCCGCTCTGCACCGCCCGCGCGGCTTTTGAATCGTGCTGGGAATTCCCCATCGCTAAGCGCCATTGCGTCCGCATCTGTTGTGCCAAACCAGCAGATGGACGCCCTGTGCTCGGGCGTTCGCTTGCCAGCGCGGCCACACAAATGCGCCAGCAAGTGCCGGACGGCACCCGCAATCGTGGCCGCATGGGTTCTGCCAAATAAGTTGCGGGTGGGAGGGTAGGATGATTGCGCAAGCAGTGGGAGTGACAGCCCACGAATTGACATGATGATTTACACCGCTTAAATTGCACCGTGCAGCGTGCACCGCGTAGCTCACTCCGCACAGATCCCACGTCCAACATGAAATAATTGATTGGTTGGGGCCCGCGCGGGCCAGCACTGCTATCCGTATCGGTTTCGGCCTCTGCCGCCGGCCCTTTCTCTATCTGAATGGGACATGCCAGAGGTATGTTGGAATGCCTGGGCGCCGACTTCAAGCAATATCGGAACCTCATGCGGCGATCGTAGCCTCGAGAGCGCGACCCTGGCGTGATTTACAAGGGGTGTCAGGCCACGGGGGCGCGAATCTGGCGTAACTTATGGTTATTGTAGTTTCGGGGGCGCGAGCCCAATGTACTTTACAAGGGCTTCTGCCCTCGGGAGCGCGAAACTGGTGCAAGTTACGCTGCATCTTGACCTCGGGAGCGCTAGTCTGGTGTAGTTTACACAGGGCTTGGGCCCCGTGAGCGCGAACCCGTCATCATTTACAAGGGGTTCTGTCTTCGGGAGCGCTAGCCCAATAGAATTTGCGAGGGGGTCTGGCTTCTGGAGCGCGACTCTGGCACAATATGCAAGAAGGGTTCTGGCTCCAGGTTTTGAAGCCTGGTGTATTTGAGTAATGGGTTCTGGCATCGGTAGCGCGATTTGTTTTGAGAGTTTTGCCATGAATTCTGGCTTCGGGGACGTGGGTCTGGTATCATTTTCGATGGATGGTTGCTCCGGGGGCGCAAATCTCACATATTGTTACCCGTCCCACCAGAGCCTCCCAACAATTTTGAGTACGCGATTCTGGCGTGGTGGCAAGGGTGGTCTTAGGCTCCCCCCCCCTTCGCGCGGACAGTAACAGTTTACAGTAGGAAGCAGAAGTTATACTTATAATATTGGAGATTGGGAAGTGGCATTGGCGCAGGAAGCAGGACACCTCCGCCACGCGGCCTGGTGGCCCCACAAGAGGGCCGGCGGAGTGATCAAATGGGCCCTTGAACCCAAACTCGACGAAGAAAACGTCATAACCATAAACTGTTGGCGCTCCGCGCGGTTTTTTGGGATACGCGCTGGGCCCCCCCTGGCGGCGCCTCCGGCGCCGCCCTTGGCGCGCTCCGCGCGCCAGGGACGGGGACCCCGCGCGTATGCAAGAAATCCGCGCGGAGCGCCAACAGTTTATGCATATAGCGTGGTTTCTTCTTCTGAAGCCGTGGGCTGGGGGAGGCTGGTCCCCCGGCCTCCCACTCCCCTCGTGTTCCAACGGGGCGCTGCCGGTGGGTTCCACGGGTGGACGGGCGTGGGTGGGTCACGGCACGTTCCCGCGCGCGGGCTCGGGCTCGCAGGCGGAGGAGGAGAGGGAGGGCCCACGGAAGGGTCGGGGAGGGACGGCAAGGAAGGGGACACATCACGGTCCGGGGATGGGTGAGGTGGGCCAGGGGTGGGTGAGGGGTGGGCGACGAGGAGGGTGATGCGGAAGAGGGGAGGGAGGGATGAGGAAAAAGAGGGGTGAGGAAGACATGGGGGGAGGGAAGACACGAGAGAAGGCAGGGGAGGATTGGAACTGGAGGAGGGATCCGAGAAAGGTGAAGCGAGCTCTGGGCCAGACAAGGGTCTATGCCCCGATCGTCGCTCCAGCGCCTTGTGAGCACGCCCGCCCTTCTGCCGTGTTCGGAGGAGCCGGGCGGAGGTGGACGAGGGGACGATCCAGTTCGCTACGTTCTTGAGGCTGCGTTGACGGGGCGACGCATGGTGGTAGTCTGACAGCCCTTTCTCTTGGCCACGCCTTCGCGTATGTTGTGTAGCCGTGCCCCCTGGAAGATCTCCGTTGGCCTGCTGAGGGTCCGCATTGTCTCACACGTCAGTGTGGCTTGAGTGGCAGGTCGTGCTCTTTGGAGGTAGTGTCGCGGTCGATGCTCCATTGGATTGCACTGAGTGCCGTTACAGGTGAAGCAGTTGAAGAGACCTTTGCGCACATAGTAGTTGGAATCATATGTGGCAAATGCGTATGGTCGCGCGAGAACGCGTTGATCAGTCCACAGCCGCACCTTATAACGGTGAGTCGATTGACAGATTGCCTACCTCTGGCCATTGGGGAAGTGAACGGGGTATTGGTCAGCTCCTGTTTCGTGGCAGATATTGAGCCGGCAGGCTGTTGCGATGGATGTTCGACACGGACTTTGCAGGCATCTGCAGTGTCATGAACTTCACAAAGGAGCGGGGCTTAGTGTTTGTTTGGTTGTTGAAGTTGCTGCCCAAAGCCTTCCGTCAGTTGGTCGAACTTGTGACTGTGAGTGGATTTGATGGGACGTAGGGTTCGGTGATCTCCAAGGCACCAGCGAGAGGGGCCCAAGAGGCATCCAAGAGGGGCCCTAGAGGGGAAGGCCAAAGGCATACTTGGGGCTCTCCCCCAGGAGATGGCTCCCAAAACCTCGTTTCCAAGGTGCGCCCGAGGGGGACGGACCCCAGAGGCGTATGTCAGCCTCAAGAGCGCAGCTTACAGAGTGAGCGCTGCGGCTTCGGAAGAAAGACTGTGGTTACCGTAAGTACGAGCGCGACGGTGGAGCAGGATCGGGAGGGGGCAGGCCACTGGCACATCGCGGCCAGCCAGAGGAGCGCGCATGCGCAGCGCCCAGACTGCACAGAACCTACAGTTGCGAGTCTTGTGTGCCACGGGTGCAGCAGCGGGATTGCCCTCCCGAGCGCATTCGAAACGCCATTATGGTGGCTGCCTGCTGTGGGCACAGCCGAATTGCCCGTCACATATTCGTGCATGTCTTGTGTGCCGTCGTTTCCATATCCTGATTTGGGGGCTGGTTGCTATCAGGCCGACGGACCCGCCTCCCTTATTCCCCGGTTTCCCCGCCTCCTCCCCCCATCTTCCTCCCCGATCCTGGTTCATTTGCATTCAGACACTTCTTATGCAGAATCACTTACGCACATACTCACCATTTCGATATCTCATTCATGTCCGCTCACACGCTGACCACAAACTCACATAGAGTCATACAAATATCCACTCAGACCCAATAGCTACCACATAGACTCGCTCAGATCCTGGCTCTTCTATTTTTTTAAAGTTCTCATGGTGTTATGTATCCTATGTGTTGGGCTCTTGCCCCCCATCTCTCATGTATGGTCTGTTGTGCCCCATATATCAAATACTGGGGTCATGTTATTACTGAGAATTTATCGCGGATTCACAAGCGAAGCATTGTGGATGGTCACGACAATACCGCAGGAACCTCAGCGCGCGGCGCGCGCCCACGGAAGCTGGGCGCCGTGCGCGCGTGTGTCGCAGGCGGGCATGTTGGGCAGACGGACCACGCGGGGCGCGCATGCAGGGGGAACGCAGCGACGCGCGCCCCCGCCGCCGCGTGGGATCGCAGGTACGCGGGTGACCGAGCGGCGCAAACCCGCGCGCGCCACCGCGGGCCTGTGCGCGGCGCAGGTGAATAATGTGTTATTGTTCAGGAGCGCCGCGCGTGCCCGCCTGTGGATTTGTTGCTGTCTCTGCTCTGCTGGCTGGCCGCGCGGCCCTGCCCGGCTGGCTGTGCCCTGTCGTCGTTTCGTTCTTTCGGGCTTCGGGTTCGCGTCCGCTTTCTCCCTGGGTTCGCTGTCCGTCCTAGTTTTTGTTCTGCCCTGCGTGTTGGCCTGTCCTGTCCTGGGTCCGCTGCCTTCGCCCGGCCTTGTCCTCTGGCTCGCCTCGTGGCTGTCGCCTCCCTCGGGTTGTGTCTTCGCGTTCGCGTGTCCCCGGCCGCCCTCTGGCTGCTTCGTCCGATGCGTCTGATCGTCTGGGCCCCTGTCCCGTGTCTCGGGCTCTCTCGTCTGCTTGCTGCGCGGCTCGAGGTCAGGACATTTGGCCCCAGTCTTCTCCTGGAGTCGCATAGGCCAGATGCGGGGGCTCCCCATGCGACTGGCCGCCTCCCTCGCGGCACGGGGTCGCGCTTTGTCCAGCCCAGCGCTTCGCGAAGAGTTAACTCGCGCCGGGGGGCGACGCAGCGCGCGAGGGGCGCGGGATTCCGGGCTGTCATGCTTGCATTCCTGAAGGAGGACCCAGTGGTCGGGGCCGAGTGGGACAATGCGCAGCTCGATCCTGCGATCGCCGCTTTGCGCGATAATGGGTTGACGGCCCCGAATTTGCTCGCGAATTCGGCGTTGGGCGATTTGAAGTTGTCTGGGGGCTGCCCGCCCAGACGAGGGGGTTCCTGGCGCGGTCGCTGGCGCGGTTCAACAATGCCGACCAAGCGAATCAGCGCGTCCACGTGGACGTTGGAGAGGAGCTCAAGGCGACGTGCCTGGCGGACCTCGATCACGAGCTGTGGCCCAGGCGTGCGCCATCTCCAGGAAAGTTCGGGTTCGGTTCGGTTCGGTTAGGTTCCGAAACGCCTCCGGGTCGGTTCGGTTCGCTTCGGTGTCGTACTATTCCGGTTCGGTCCAGTTCGGTTCGGTACGTTTATGTTTTGTTTCCCGTTCGGACCAGTTCCTGTTCCGGTTCGGTCCGGTTCCGGCCAGATCGCCGTCGAGGAGCGGCTCCGACCCCAAAGAGGCCTCAACCCCCCAAAGGGGCCCCAAAGGGGCCCCAAACCCGCATAGGGCCCCCAAAGGGGCCCCAAAGGAGCCCCAAACCCCCAAAAGGGGGCCCAAAGGGGCCCCAAACCCCCAAAGGGGCCCCAAAGGCCCCAACGGAGCCCCAAACCCGAATTGGTGCCCCAAAGGGGCCCCAAACCCCAAAGGAAAGGGGGGTTTGTCGGGGTGGCTGCAGGAGACTGCTGGTGGGTCGGTTCCCGCGGGAACCCGGGTACCCTGGCGGCGGCCCCCTGCCCTCGCGCGGGGGGGGCGCCAAAGGGGCCCGCCCTCCCGCGGTCCGCGGGGCGCCAAAGGGGTTGTCGTCATCGTGGTCGTCGCCGCCGGTCATCCTCCCTCCTCCTCCCTCCGTGGCCAGTTTTCCAGTTCGCTCCAGTTCGGGCCGGTTCGGGCCGGTTCGGCGGGGGGAGGTTCGGCCCGGTTCGGAGTCCCGGGGTTCGGTTCGGTTCGTTTCGGTGTCGTAATTTTCCGGTTCGGTTCGGTTCGTCTCCCATTGAGAAAAAACACCGGTTCGCGCCGGTTCGGTCCGGCCCGGTTCGGTTCGGCCGGTTCGGTTCGGTTCCGGAACCATCCTGCATCTCTGGGGCGGCATGAAGCGCCCCTGGTTGCTGGCTCCTGGTGGCTACCCCCGCGGGCTGCGAGTAGCGCGATCCGGGACGCTCTCCTGGTGGGTCGCTGGGCTCCAGCCTCCTATTTGCGCCACATCACTGGAGAAGGCTCTTCCGGGCGGTTCCTAAGGCCTTCAATAGCGGCGCAATCCGGGAGGCTCTCCCGGTGGGCCGGTGCGCTCTTGGCCGAGGCCCTGTAGGCCGTCCTTTGGCGCGCTGGGCTCCTGGTTTCTCGAAAGGCCCGCGGGTGGCGCGATCCGGGAGGCTCTCCTGGTGGGTCGCTGGGCTCCAGCGTCCCATGTGCGCCATGTGTCTGGAAGTATCTTCCGGGCGGGTCTTGATGGCCCTGCTGGGTCACGGAGCGGTCCGAGAGGTTTTCCCGGAGGGCCTGGGTATATTCTTGGCGTTTGGGCCCCGATGTTTTTTCCCGTGGGTGCTGGAGGCCGCGATCTGGGAGGTTCTCCCGGTGGGCCGCTAAGCTCGCCACGCGCGATCTTTCCCTTCCATTCCCAAAAGGGCCAGAAGGTAGATTGGCTGCGCAACGAAATCAATCGGAAGCGCAATAGAGGTGCTCGCGCAGCGTGAGTCGCCTCGCGCGCCGCGCGGCGATCGCGGGCGCGCGCCAGGGGTCGCCGCGCCATCTCCCGCCGTGGATCTGCGGCAATTCCTGCCCCTGTGATCGGGCGGGGGCGAGGTAGATCAGATCGGGGAAAAACGCGTAAACACAAAGGGTTTCATTGGTTTTACGCCGGAAGGGGGCGTCGTTGAGAGGGTGCCTGGCACGGATGCGGGGGTCGGGGTGGCGTCGGCGTTTGGAACTGGCGGTTTGCGCGGCAAGTGCGTTCGGCTGGTCGCGCGCGTTCGCAACGCGTGACGGGTGGAGAGGCCGCTCGCCAGCAACTGGCTGTTCTCTGCCCGCGGGCCAGAACAAGTCGTCGCGCGCTCGCAACGGGGCGCGCGGAAGGGGGTTGGGTAGAGGGCGCGAGTCTCATTCCCAAGAAGTCCCTTCTATAGGCAGGAAACACATATTTTTCTATTCATCTGCCGCACGGCCAACTGAACGAACGAACAAGTGTCTCGGCGCGCAGCGTTAGCCTCGCTTGCGCGCATCCTGGCTTCCTCCCGTTGCTTCCTTCGCTTCTTTCTCGCCCTCCTCTCTCTCTCTCTCTCTCTCTCTCTCTCTCTCTCTCTCTCTCTCTCTCTCTCTCTCTCTCTCTCTCTTCTCTCTCTCTCTCTCTCTCTCTCTCTCTCTCTCTCTCTCTCTCTCTCTCTCTCTCTCTCTCTCTCTCTCTCTCTCTCTCTCTCTCTCTCTCTCTCTCTCTCTCTCTCTCTCTCTCTCTCTCTCTCTCTCTCTCTCTCTCTCTCTCTCTCTGAAAAATAGTTATGTTTTCTTCCTCGCCCCCTGCTTTGCCTTGCCCCCCCCCCCCCCCCCCCCTTCATTCCAGCTCGGAGCTGTCGCCGCGCTCGACAAGCGCAACCCAGAAGGCGTTGCTGCAATTCCTTTGCGCACCGCGAAGTCTCGCGCACTTCCTTCGCGTGCGGTCTGGTTACACCGCCAACGCGGGGGGCGCACAAGGGAAGTTCCTTCGCGCACGGTCCTCGTCGCCGCCCCCACAAGAGCACGCGCGAGCCCCTTGCGTAGAGCACGCCCCCCCGCCCCGAGGGGCGCGCGGGGGCTGGCGCTACAGTCGCAAGGCCGCGGCGCCTGGCAGCGCGATGCAGCTGCGCCGGATACCGCGCCCAAAACGATCCCACGTGAATTTCGGCTCTTCTGCCGAAGTCGCGCTGGCAGCTGGCCAGCCGCATCGCCAGCCCTGCACGCCCGCGCGCTACTGCGTTCTGCTGCCGCGACGCGCGCTGCAATCAATGGATGAAAAAAACTGACGTTGCACGGCGGTTTGGCTGTGCCAAACCACAATGGAATGTTTGTTGGTCGCGGATCTTGGGATCTCCTCGCCGCCGACAGCCTTGCCACACCATGCATGTCAACTGCATTTTAGAGCACGGCCGTGCATCAACCCT